CTTGAAGTTATTTTGTCAGGCCAGCCACAGCAGAAGGTTCTCCACAGTTTCACAATGGTTCCCCTTCGAGTTCTCTGCAATCCTAGAACCATAGACTGTTCCTGTCCATATGTTTCTTCACGCGATGAGTCATTAATAAACATGCCGCTCCGTCATCCTCCTACTACTGCCTGTCGTCGTCTTCGTGGTTTCTGCCAATTGTTGGTCATGTGGTTCATGTGTTGCGGAAAAAATCTTTTCACTGCAGTTTTGTGAAACAAACCAATTTTGATACGGCTACAAAAACACAAACACACACACACACACACACACACACCAACAATGAAACATTTGAAATTGGGGTGTTTCAAATAAATTTACTTTTGAAATGTCAAATTGCAAAATTATATGGTCAAAAGAAACACAGTTGTGACTTTTTCTCATCTGTTCTTTACTTACTTAAAATTCGTGATTTAAATCCAATCAACATTTAATTTTCAACTTACTAAATTCTGAAAAGCCCAGATTGAATCTCCTGTAGTTGTGCTGTTTTTCTGGGTTGCTACCATCTGAGGAAGGTTGGATGTTTGGGTCAGCAGGAATCAGTCTCACAGGAAGTGGTGACAGTGTCAGATTCCACTGCAGCTCTGTCTCTGTGTCCCATTAAACTCCTCCACAGTGAAATCCTTTCTGCTCTGTTTTCTCTGTTTGGCCTCGACTCCAGCTGTACAGAAACCTGCTGGATTCCTCTGCAGCTCAACACACTCACTGCTGACTGAACAGCACAGGAGGACACAGAGCCAAACACTAAACTGCTTTATTACTCAGTAAAAATCTTTAATTACATTTGAATCATTTTAGCAAATCTATATACAGGTCTCCCAGTGGTAACCTGGCAACAAAACCCACAAAGCTGCGACTGGGAAAAAACGATCACGTGAGCTAACTTTCCATTTGGGCAAACAACATTGTGCAGGAATTATATTCTGAAGCGTTTTGATTCCAGTGTGCGTTTTGGCACAGGAAGAGGATGAGAAGGTTCTGCTGGGCCTCCTGCGGTCCGACCGGGTCGTTCAGGGGTCCATGCCGTAGTTCTCTATGCCGACCTTTCTTCTGCGTGGCTGTTCAGGAAGAACACACACAACATAAACAATACCTCTGTCAGTAACACACACATGTACAGGTATATGTCAGTGAGTTAGTATTTCTAAAGTTTATTAGGTTCTCTTACGTGGCAATATGAACTGATTATTAAATAACAGCAGAATGCTTGAGCGAAACTATTTTAAGCATTCATTTCTGATCATTTTATTATTTTTTGGCAGCTGAAAGCTTAAGATTCAGGTTTATTGATTTAAAGATGCAAAATGATTTTTTTATTTTTTTTTACAGTACTATGAAGCTATAACTTACACAATCATGGGTGGGGGGAGGGGGTTAAGACAGAATAGGTTGTTGCTAAAGAAGCTGAATGTTTACAGACTGCTATATCCAAAAATATGAATGGAAAGTTTTGTGGAAGGAAAAAGTGTGACAAGTGTGACCTCTTATCAGATGAAAGTACATTTTGCATTTATTTTAGTCCCAGAAAGAATCCTCACTGTGTGAAGTCCAGAGTGACGTTTTCACAGTCAGAGGTGATCTGGGGTGTCATGTCACCTGCTGGTTCTGGTCTACTGGGTTTAACAAATTCCAAAGTCAGTCCAGCTGTCTAACAGACTAAAAGTCCACATGCCTCCTTTAATCACCATGGTAACATCAGAAAAGTGGCTTGACCAGAACTCCATAGAGAATCTATGAAGCTTTAACAAGAAAAGATGAGAGACAGCTTCCGAAACAACCTGGGCTTCCAGAACCCCAGTAGAACCGGACCGGTCTCCTCCCCGCCTCGCTGCCCTGATGGAGGAACTCAAGCACAAGGAGCCCAGACCAAGAACCGGTGCAGATACTGCACAGCAGAGGCGCAAAAAGTGGGTATGCAGCCTATGCAACGCATAGGGGCGCAGCACCAGAGGGGGCGCCAAAACCCCGTCTGGAGGGGGCGACGCGCCAATTATGACATTGGGCTCCTTCACCTCTTGCACATAACGAGGTACATGTAGCGAGTTTTACACTTCATGTAGCGTCGCCTCGGGGGAGGGGGGAGCATCGCTCCTTCACCCTGACGTTCCTTCCCTTGGGGGGGTGGGGGGCGCCGATTTATGTTTTCGCATCCACCTGAATAATGTGTAGTTGCACCACTGCTGCACAGCACATGGACAAACATTTATACTTTTAAATCCGTGACTGAAAGTCAATATTAGGTTTTCATTAAGCCAGCCAGGGCCGGCCCAAACCTTTTGTGGGGCCCTAAGCAGGTTCTCATTCGGGGCCCCGCATGCCACCATGATGCTTCATCATTCCTAAGATACTTGCTGTGTGTAACATAACTACAACATTAGCTTTTTTTGCGCTTCTCTTACATCATACCAGAATCATTAGTGCTGTTGATTTCAACCTTAGAGTTTTTACCTTTTCATTGTCACAGCAGCCGCAGCAGCAGCACCGGATGAGAACCAGCAAGACCAACGTGAGAACCACGCCTGTGCACAACAGTGACAAGAAGCAGGAAGAGTTCAGACATCAGTATTTGTACAAAAACCGGTTTACAGATGGAAAGGAATCCTCCAACGTGTGTTTTTGGAAACCAAACTTCTGTTGAGGTATAATTTGAACCTTTGCGATGTTAGCAGAGCTCAGTAGAGCAGATCACACTCAAGTAAAAGAAGCACTACTTCAACATTTTTACTCAATAAAAGTAGAAAGTAGCCATCCAAGAAATGATTCGAGTAAGAGTAAAAAAGTATTTGGTAAAAAGTCTACTTGAGTACTGAGTAACTGACTATGGAGACTTTCAAAGTATGCTTATGATATTATGATATTGGAGTGTGTAGTTAAATCACCTGCTCTGGCTGTACTGATGGAAACTAGCTTAAGCTAAATCTGATTCTAAGCATATTTTATCATTGATTTTTGCACATTTCCACTGTTTTGAATACACTAATAAACCAAACTGAACTCCAGCATGCTGCCGCTTTGAGCGCCACACTTCTTACCAATGAAGATAAAGAAGATGGCAAAAGAAGCGATGTCCCAGTCAGACTGGAACATCTGCTTCGACTGCAGTCTGGAGACCACATCGCTGAACTGGTCCTCAAACTCCTGCTGGATGTTCTTCTGATCCATGTCCCAGTCTGCTCCCAGAAAAACACAGAACCAAGAGAAGTGGATTATTGTAAGAACTATTTAGAACCAGGCATGGACAAGTATGAGGTTCAGACTGATGACTTGGAGTAAAAACACCAACTGTTCTACATAAATAAATCACATTATCTGATTGTCTTTATTTAAAAGGGGGAAAAAATCAACAGTGACTTGTACTGATGCTTAGATATCAACACATTGATTAATAAAAGTCTAATAATCTGTTAATGGAGGTGGTTGGCATCCCACAATGTGATATTTCCACCACCAAACTTTTTTTGTTTTTGTTTTCACACCATAACTTTGTTTTTCACAACTGTACATCAAACAGACATTTTTTTCTTCCCTTTTAGAAATTAAAGGAAATGTAGAGTAACTTCCTGTGCTGCTCAGGTGCTGGTCACTATGTCCAGTGGATGTTCGTCCATTTTATCAGTGAATGCCAACAGTTCTGGTCATAGTGGGTTTGTCCTGGTTGGGTCAGGAGTACAACAGCGGCCTGTCAGGGTTGCAGTTAGAATTGGTGCGAAAGGGGATTGAAGGGATGACACCTTCTGGCATTCTAGGGAAAGTTTAATCTTTAAACCTGGCCGTATAGTGAATCACGCCTTTATCTTTGGGGAAATGCTGAGGACGTCAGAATGTCTGTAATGAAAGATTGGTGTTTTTAATTAATATAGTATATTAGCACAATTCAGCATTGATTTGGGGTCAATAGAGCTCATGACCTGGAAGCTACTGGTTGTTGTTTTTATTTTTTTTATTTTTCCCGAGGGCAAATGTGTTGGTGGTCCATAAAGGAACCTCCGCTTTCTGCAGCGAGAACACGGAGCCGAGATATCCGCCCTCTGTGAAACAGTCCACGGTGTGAAACCCCCCACTGACCGCAGGGAACCACGGAGCGAATATCTGAGGAGCATCCGACCTAAACCGAGCTTCACCGCGGGTCCTGCACTGACCTTTGGGGAAGTTATTATCATTCATCCGACTGCTGGCAGTGAAAGATCGGAACTATTTTTTAAATATTAATTTCTTCAGTAAATACAAACGTATTCTTTATAGTCTTATTGAAATAACCAGAGTCAAACCTACCTGTACGAAGAGTCGCTTGTTGTTACGGGTTGTTTTTTTTCTTCCGGGTACGAAGATCTTTTGTTATAGTGTTGCACCTGTTGATGCTCCACCCTCCTGACTGAAACAGGAGCAGGTAAAGGAGTGGGTGTGGCAGGATCAGGGCTCCGGGATGACTGTGTCGAACCACTTTGCATTTGTTTACAGAAATATAAACAAATGTTTCTGAGACTCATTTGGAGTCAGCTATAGATGGTATAAATTCTACCTATTTTTCTTTTTATTTAAATACTCCATTTACTTTTATATGCTTGTTTTTACAGTCCCGTTCTGTTTCTTTTTTCTATCAACGTTGCTGTTTTTTGCACCTCTAAGAGACATTCTATAATGTGATAATAATAATAATAATAATAATAATAATAATAATAATAATAATAATAATAATAATAATAATAATAATAATAAGAGACCGAACTGATTGCATTTATGTGGCCTGAACCTTTTATATAAATTATATTCTTAAAAAGGCTTGAAAATGATCCAACCAAATATCAACTCTGTAATATTTTCTTTCTAAACGTTCCTGGTAGGTTTTTATTTATCTTTGGATGCGGTGGGCGGGATGAGTCCTGAACGGAAATCTTCTCTGACAGACAATTTTCTTGACCAATGAACGTGCAAAACACATATGACGTCACCAACATTTGCTACGTGGAAGCAGGAAGTAGCTCTCCACCTTTTTCCGGGTTGGTTTTCCGTCACCAGCTGAACTTGTCGGTGGGGAATGATGGCTGGGGACCCCGTGCTGGCCCTGCGGATCTCGGAGATCAAGGACCCGGCGGCTCTCTTTGAGCGCTATAGCACCGAGGAGATCCGCCGGGTTGAACGCAGGGTCCGCGGGGAGATCGAGCAGAAGAAGGAGGAGCTGAGGCAGATGGTCGGGGAGCGGTACCGGGATCTGATCGACGCCGCCGACACCATCGGAGAGATGCGGGAGTGCTCGGAAAGCGTGGTGGAGTCCATCCAGGACATGCAGCGGTACTGCCACACACTGAAGCAGGGCAGGAACGGCGCGGGAGGCAGCAGACTGGAGGTACCGGTGACCCAAACTCAAAGCAGACCCTGAAGCAATCCGGTCACAACATGAAGAGTTTCAGGTGATGGAGATCTGATCCTTCCATCATCATCATCAGCATCATGTTTCTTTGTGTCCTGCTGCAGAACCAGAACCAGAACCAGAGGCAGTGGCAGGAGAAGTTCTACACCATGGCCTCCCAGATCAAGCTCCTCCTGGAGATCCCAGAGCGCATCTGGAGCGCCATGGAGGCGGCCCAGTACCTGCAGGCCACCCAGCTCTACCTGCTCTGCTGCCACCTGCACAGCCTGCTGCAGCTGGAGGCCGCACCAGGCGGGCTCTACAGCCCTGTGCTGGCCCGCTTCCCCATCCTGGTCCGCCAGGTCGCCACCACTGGACACTTCAGGTACAAGGAGGGTCAAAAGGTCAACCTGCATTTGGAAGTGTTGTGGTAGAGATTGCTAATCTCCAGGTTAAGCCTGCCACAATAATCAATTAATCGCATGATAAATTAAAATGAGCTTGATCATTTCCTTTCTATTTTTGAAGGCCAGTTTTCTTTACAGAGACTTCATGATCCATTTTATTCATGGCTTTGGTTGTGCGTGGTTTTCATTTCCATTTTATTTATTGACTTTCGTCGTCGCATTTTATTTTGGATATTTAAAATATCTTCCAATTCCAGTGTTGTGTTCTTTGCAAAATTAAAATGTATTGGACTTTGAGAGAGAAAACTTGCATTAAGATACTATTATCAATATATTACCGGTAAATAATTTCAAAACAACAATAGGAGGCCTCAGTCCTCAAGGCGCCTGTCACAGGTCAGAGTCCCGACCCGATGACCTCTGCTGCATGTCTTCCCCCTCTCTCGTAACCTGTTTCCTCTCAGTCTACTGTGAAATAAAGGCCACTAGAGCCAAGAAAAACAAAAAGAAAACAATATTATTGTAAATCACAATAATTAGTGAAGCAATTTATTGTCTAACAAAATTTGTTATTATGACAAGGTTGTGCCAGGTCTTGTAAAAAGAGAAAATTGCAGCAATGTGTAGCATCAGCATAAAAACAAAGAAGTTACGAATTATCACTACTTTTAGCATCTTATACTAGCATCAGCTAATATAAGATGCTATATAGATAATGGATTGACCCCTAGGGAATGTAGATCCTTGCATCTGACACTGAAAACAGCTGACTTTGAGTCTCTGTCCTTCAGTAACAACTTCCTCACTGAAGATTGTTATGATTAGCACAATGTAATGCAATTTTACTATATAGCGTATTTTCAGCCACAAGGCAGGTCAGAGTGCTTTACATGAATTAGAAGGAAATACAATAAAACCAAAAGAAAGACAAAAAGGTAAAAGTACAAAACTAAATATTTCTTCCTCATGTTTAACAAGAATAAGTCCATAATTTATAAACTCATAAGGGTTTCTCTGGATCTTAAGTTTGTTTCTCCATGTTTGATACTAGTAGTAAGTATAAAACTAAATGCTAGTTCCAGTTGTTCTGGGTTGAGTTTTAGATTTGCTCAGTATAAAGCAAAATGTTGGTTCTCCATGTTTGATTCTTGTTCTGGGTTGTTAAGTAAAATAACATGATAGCACTGAAATGTGTTGTGTTCACTGATCAGATTTTTTGAGTTACCTATCGGCCAATCACTGGTCAGATTCCTGCTGGCAGCAGATGTCTGGCTCCGCCTCTAAACGCCGTCTCCCTCCAGGTCGACCATCCTCCTGGACAGCAGGTCTCTGCTGCGCGGCCGTGCCGTGTCGGACCAGGCTATCGCTGAGGCCCTGGTCTCCACCATGCTGCTGGAAGACAGCTCACCACGCCAGGCTCTGGCTGACTTCCTGTTGGCCAGGAAGGCCTCCATCCACCAGCTGCTGAACCAGCCGCAGCACGGTACTGTTCCTTCGGTGAATCGTAGTCACATTCAGAGGTACTGATAGTCCAACCCAGGCATGGCTACATTATCTGTTAAACAGAACCAACAGAACCAGAAGCCATGGGAGGTTACAGGCTAATGAAGGGTTCTGATAGTTTTGGGTTTTTCATTATAGTTGAGTTTTATTAGGTTTTCAGTTTGTTATAATTGTTTTTTTGTGTGTTACTTTTTATTAGTTTTATTAGTTAAATATGATTTAGTTTAGTTTTTACTAGTTTTAGTGCTACTTCTATTTTTTGATACTTTAGCTATTTTTTAAATACGGAATTCAGAAAGATCAAAGTATTGTATTGTGTTTATGTATTCATATATTAGTTTTAATAACACATAGCATAGTTATAGTTTTTCCCAATTCATTAACGTTTTTTTTATTTTGGTTAGCAAAAATGTTTTCTCAGTTCCAATTTTTGTTATTTTGTTCATTTTCTTTAACTATAATAACCCTGGTTACTATAGCAGCAGGTGGATGATATAATTGCACTATTAATGATTTATTAATGACAATAAGTCATTAATAGTCTGTCATAATGGCAGGATAAGAACACCATCCTCTTACCCTCAAATACTTTTGTAGATGAATGGAGGGAGTCATTTGCTCGGACAGGTGGAGGTCAAGGGTCATGTTAACCCAACAGCCCGACTGCAGAGCTGAAACACTCTGACCACAGACACCAGCAGCTTGTGGGCGTACATTCAGATAAATTGCTGGTTTTCTGTCATTGTTTTGAGAATGAACCAACTCGTGGCGTGTTTTCATCCTCCAGGCGCAGGGATCAAGGCCCAGGTGTGCAGCCTGGTGGAGCTGCTCATCACCACGCTCTTCCAGGCCTACGCCGTCTTCTACATGCCTGCTGAAGGGGCTCCCAGGCCAGCAGAGGGCGCCCTCAGCTGTGGCATGCTCTTCTCCACCTTGGAGAATGTAACCTCCTGCACTCCCACAGGTAGGACAAACAGCCACCGTCTGTAGGATCTGCTTAAGTTCAACTCCACCTCTAAATGTGTTCCTGTGCCCGGTCCAAGATACATGGAAGTCATGATATGACTTGTGATTAGGGGTGTTATGATACTCGAAGCTAATGAGACAAGACGAGACACGATACTGAGTTCACAAGAACGAGACGAATCGAGATTTTAATGTTATTTTCAAGATAACTTCAAATATCAAATTTAAAGGCCTTTATTCTGCATTTTAATTAGTTTAGCCAGAAATTCAACACACTGATGTCTGTCTTTTTATCTCTTCAGTACTTAAGGCAGTGCTTCCGCTATGTAGTATTTACCGTTTCCAGATGCTATTTAAAAGATGCAATGTGATTGTGATGTAGCTCAACATAACCCCATACGTCAAGCCAGTCGTTGTAACCAGGCTTTCTGCCTCCTCACAGATACAGCCAGACTCTCTCTGCTCTATTTCTCTGTCTTTGGTTCTGTTGGTTCCAATTAGATGAAAACTGTTGTTCCGTTGAACTTGATTGTTCCCCCTGTTCCGTGTTTCTACCTTCGTGTGGACCGTTCAGGGTGCGTAGGAGTTGTTGCTCATTGATCAAGGTGATATCCTGGTTTCATGTGTTGCCAGGTAAAGGCAGAAAGGTGTTGCAGCAGGAGTGGAGTACAGGCAGCTGGTTCAGGTATCTGCCTCCATCCATCACAGAGTTTCAGCCCACTCTCCGAACCCTGGCTCAGCCCATCCAGGCGGAGCAGCTCCGGGACACGCTGCAGCAGTGGATCAATACGTGAGGACTGCTTTTCTGTCTCCTCACAAAAGCAAACTCCTCTGTTCCACTGGGGCTTTTATGTGGTTAGTTTGGTAATCAGTTCTTCTCCTGCAACTTTTCTGTTCTCAGCTGCAAGCAGGACATCTGTCAGGGCGTTGGGACCCTCCTGGTCTACGTGAAGAGCCTCAAGGCTCTGGCAGCCATTAGAGACGCCGTGTGGGATCTTCTGACCACAGACTCCATCAGTCAGCACTGGGGTAACGTATGTCAGCAGCTGCTGGGGCGCCCCCTGGCTGTGTGGGAGGACTTCCTGCAGCAGCTCTTCCTTCACCGCCTCCAGGTGGGTTCTCCTCTAAATTCAAGGATATTTGGAATCTTCTGTGTTGTTTACCCACCTATTATGTCCTGGCGATGTAAGATCAAACTTTAAATTTTTTTTCCTTTTTTTCACCCCCAAGACCATCACCAAAGAGGAAACGGAGGCCATTGCAACAAGCTCGGTGCAGCTGCTGACCTCGGCCGTGAGGGACCTGGAGGGCCAACCGGTCCAGGCCGCCGCCGGCAGCAACCCGCTCTCCGGTCGCAGTGCTCAGTACGAGGCGGATGTGGCGTCCTTCCTGTGGTCAGAGTCTCCGGGGGACCTGCTGAGCGATGCAGCCTGGGTCAGTGTGGCCCAGCGGGGCCAGCAGCAGCAGCAGAGAAGCGGACTGGCCATGAAAACGCAGGCCCTGACGCCCTGCGTTCAGAACTTCTGCTCCTCTTTGGATGCAAAGCTGAGAGCCAGACTGGACGACCTCCAGCACTACCTCCCATCACAGGACACAGGTATCCCTGATTCATAGCTTACATACGCTATCAGAATTATTTTTTTCCTCATTTCCAAAGAATATAAATGATAACGCACATTGTTTTCACTCATGGTTAATCATGAAGCCTTTTATTGTAACTTTGTTTACTCTTTTTAAATTATAATAATAACAGAAACTACTCAAATGTACCTGATCAAAACTTTACATAGTCCCTATACTGTGTATTGCCCCGATTAACATTGACAGCCTGGAGTGTTTGGTGGTATTACTGGATGAGGCTCTGGGTAGTTTCTGTTCTCATTATGATTTTAAAAGAATAAACACATTTATTTGACAATAAATGACTTCTCCCAACCACTGACCATTTGTGTTTTTGTTCATATTTTCCCACAAATGGTTAAAAAAAATAAAAAGTCCTACCGGGGTATGTAAACTTATGAGCACAGCTGTATAACTCTACAATAATCATTGCAATATTAAAGTCATAAAGAAATGCCTGGTTGGACAGTCCAGGGGCTGAAAACCAGTCTTCAGTTTTTGGTACAAAAATACAAAATGTGTTAACTCATGCATCTTACTCATTTCACTTCACATTTCCATACTCCTGTGTCAAATAAAATAAATGTGATATAATGTGAACATGTTTCCAAGGTGTGAAAACTTTCCAGACTCCTGATCTCTGATCTCTGTAAACCACAGAAGCTGCAACAAACTGTCTGAATGATGCAGCTTGCTGTAGGTGAGGTCTGCTGACCTCCATGTGCTTTTCTGCTCTCGGCAGGATCCGACTCTATCCTGGCTGCGCCGACTTCCAGCGGGCCTCTGGACTCCTCTTCGTTTAACCGCTACACGGACTCGGCAGCGGTGGAGGAAGCTCTGCGCGAAGGCTGCGTGGCCTGCGTTCGCCACATCCTGTTATCGGTCCGCTCCGAGCTGGGCTCCGCCCCGACCCGCCTCAGCTCCGTCCTGTTTATGGCCAGGCTGTGCCAGTCCGTGGGCGAGCTCTGTCCCAGCCTGAAGCACTGCATCCTGGGCAGTCGGGGACCCGGGGAAGCCTCAGCCAAGGGGACCCCCAGGCAGGGAAAAAAGCTGGGCAAACCCAAAGCCGCCCCAGAGGTCAGCCCAGCGCAGGCCAAGTGGGCGGAGCTGAAGGAGGAGCTTCTTGGCTGCAGCATGGACGCTTACCGCATCTGGAGCTCCACCCTCTCAGAAGTCAGAACCCGTCAGAACATAAAGTCTCAGGCTGAGTCCACACATAGCCGGGTCTTTATCGGTTTAAGAAACATGGTCATCCACACCTACCTGCTGAATTACATTGTTTTAAACAGGCCAAACCCATAGAGCTGCCCTCTATGGGTTTGGCCTGTTTAAAACAATGGGAAAACATAAACCTATGTCAGCCAATCACAATCCTTCAAATTAACTGCGACTTTCTGCGAGAAATTAAACATAGTAGGAAATTCATTTGTGTGAACAGAGAGAGAGACTGAACTAATTTTAAATACAGTGTTAGAATATAAAGTTAATAAAACACAAGATGATGTTGACTGGGAGTCGTGTTAAAGCCAGTGTGTCCATATTGGGAAAGATGGATAAAACAGCTGACCTCCAATCAGCTCTGTACTTGGCAACTCAGTGAATTGGATCTAACATCAGAAACAATGTAAAAATCATCAGCTTTCTGATAGTAGCCATTTCTCCTCCACTATGTGACCATTGGTACTGGTCAAGCAGTAACACTGGTCACATATGTGACGTCACGCCGCATTATTTGTTGCAGACCTTCGTGCGCTTACTTCTAAATCTCAGGTTTCAACGTCCCCACGCAAACGCGAAAAAGGAGAATTCACAAAGTCTTGGTTGGAGGTTTCATTGTTGATCATTTTTAGTGCTATTAAATGGACACTAAATGTGCATGAAAGATGAAATCGTATCAAAATATTCTGTTTCCCAGATATCTGGCTATGTGTGGACAGGTTCAGCCTCAGTGCTGTGCTGATGTGTTGCTCATCGCGGCCTTGGTTTGACAGGGGCTGATGGAGACGTTTGGCACCGCGTTGCTGGCAGAGTCTGCTGGTGCGGTTCTGAGCTCCACAACAAACTGGGAGGATCTGGAAATCCAGGAAGAGTCTGAATCAGGGAACAGCATCACGTCCAAGATCCGCCTTCCGGTTCAGGTCAGAATGATGTCACAGGAAGTAGGTTCTCTGATTTGCTGCCGTTTCACGTGACGGACTCTGAGTCTTGTGTTCTGTCAGGCGTCCTGGTTTGTGCAGTCTTTGCTGTTCCAGCTGTGCGTGGAGGTGAACAGGGTCGGAGGTCATGCTCTTCCCCGGCCCACCCTACAGGAGCTGCTTCAGTCCTGTCTTGGTCAAGTTCTGCATCGCTACGATGTCCTGGCAGAGCAGCAGCGGGACGCGGTGAGGAACACATGTTTTGACAGAGTTGATTTTCTGCTAAACGTTCAAGTCAAGTTAATTCTGTAGCACACTTAATCAACAAGACAGTTTCTCTAGATCTTGCCTTAGCATTAGTCCTTTAAACCTGGAAATGTTCTTCAGGTGACAGAAGGCCGACTTTGTAACGGTCTTTATGTGGCTTTGAAGGTTCAGGTCAAAATTGGAAATCACTACAAAAATAACTTATTAAATATAGAATTAATATTGTGACTCCATTAAAAGTATTGGTATTATTTTAAAAACAAGATATAATTATTTCATGATTTAATCAATTATTTTACATACATCGTAAATTAAGTTAAGCTGTCAACCTGACCCATCAAACTCAGTGGGTGGGGTTAGGGAGACACTTGCTGCTTCAAACAGCAAGTGAAAACAATTTCATCTGTTTATTTCCAATTTTTTAAAAATAGCAACACATTCAAACAATTATTTAATAAGTCTTCCATTTGTTGTAATTTGGCCCTCAAATTACAACAAAAATGGTGAGTTAGTAAGTAATTTGTGAGACACAAATTCTTCTTCTCTGAATTTCTCTCTTCTCCCTTTCGTTAGGAGGGCGTCCTCCCCATAACTCAGAACCGAGCCTTGCAGTTGTTGTTCGACCTTCGTTACCTTAACACCACACTGGCCAGCAGAGTGGAGGAGGGCAAGACCTCCAGATCCCAGCAGGACCCGAGGTAGGTCTGCCCTGGAGCGGGGTTTTGGTAGCTAGCTAGCTACTAGCTCAAGACTGGATTCACTTCAAACATTAAAAGCTTGAAAAAATCGGAGTGTGTCCATATGGGACTGTTTTCAAAGCTAAACATGGAGAAACGCCCAAAATCAAAGCTTTAAAACGATGTGGTTCCAAGTTCTGCTTTTAGAGAGAAGTCTGACTTCTGAAAGAACTGAAGTATTAAAACATCGTCGGATCGCATGATGTGCTGCACAGTGACGAGAAAAGAAAAGACACTCCATTTAACTGACTGGAATGTTTTTATGTTCAGTCCAACAAATCAAACTTAAACCACATTTAATTGTTTTTTTTTTCCTATTTAAACATTGTGTCCTGTTTATTTTCCAGATTCCACAAGATATGTGATTGGCTGGAAAACTTCATTGACCCCTTTGACCTGGATGTGTTTACACCTCCGCTGAACGCCAATCTCAACCGTCTGTCCCAGAGGACCTCGGTATGCTGTTGCCATGCACATAGAACGACACAGTAATGAAGCATCCTGATGTCTCAGACGTGTGTGTGCAACACTCATGAGAAGAGGCTGTTGTTCACATGTTCCAGTAGCTGTCATGTGTTTGCGTGTTCCAGGTGCTGCTCGGCCTCTTGACTGGTTCGGAGAAGCAGTTTGCACCGCGGAGCAGCACTGTCAACTCCCAGGAGCCTTACAACATTCTGCCACTGGCCAGCAGTCAGATCAGGTCAGACACGAACGTCAGTAAACAGGAAGTGAAATGTTTTGTTCTCAGTCAGACGTTGACCAGTCACCGATGCAGATTCTCAGTTTTCTTTAAAGGGGCAGTATATTGTAAAATCTACTTTTTGAGCTTTACATCATGTTATAATGTTATTGCCGCTTCATAAACATACCTGGAGCGTTGCCTTGATTCTTTCATGCATGTCTGAGAAATCTTTTAATCCCCATGGTAACCATTCAGGTGTGGAAAAATACCTGAGTGGACCTAGTTTCCAAACTTTTGAGCTTTTGCCTCACAGAGCAGCCTTCCATCACAACTCCTCCACTCAGCTCCTTCAGACTAGCCAGCAGCAATTAGCAAACACCTGGTGGAACTGAGAATCTGCTGAGTTCATTATAGAAGCTACTTCTCAGACCAACGCTGGTAAAAACGTTGTTGTGATGGCTTCCTGAAGGCGGAGTTTCAGAAAGAGCAGAAGTTTTTAGAGACAGAGGCTCTTCAATTTCAAGGCGATAAATTAGGAAGTAACATTTTGTTTACATTATATTTGAGATATAACTTAAAATTGTCATTTTTATAACAACTGAAGGTGACATAGTTACTTAATTGTGCTATGAAATCAGAATATATGACTGGAAAACGTATAACACTGCTCTTTTAAATATGAAAACTGACCTAGAATATTGAGTCTATCAGAGCTGATGACTTCACCTGTCAGGTGTTACATGATCACTGCATGATAGTCAGTGTCTGTCTGGTTCCTGTGGTCTATGTCTGATCAGCAGGTCCTGTCTGTTGCAGGTTCGGGTTATTACCTCTCAGCATGTCAAATGCTCACAAACCCACCTCCTCCTCCAGGGGATCGGACAAGTCTCAGAACCTGGTAAGTTCTGGAGCCGCAGGGGTCGGGGTGCTGAAGCTGTTCTGGGTCCGAGTGTGTTCTGAGAGAGGACATTTTCATTTACTGACAGCCACAGAGTGATGTTCTTTCTTTTTTTTGTTCCATCTGCATAAAGCGTTTTTTGTCACACTCTCTCTCCTCCCAGAGATTCTGAGATTCTGAAGCCTTCAGGCAAGTTTATCAGAGTTGTTTCTGTCTGGGTGTGTTTTGGTTGTGCTTTGATTTAGTTGGAACAGTGGCAGTGTGGGTGCTCTTCATCACTTCTTTGTATTTTCATCCTGGTCTATGTTGGAAACATTAAGAAGACTGTTTGAACGAGCCGATCCAGTCTTCGTACCGCCTTAAGTCAGGGATCATCATTATCTGACTCATCAATCATTTTTCTTGGGTCAATCAAAAAATGTTTTGACCATCTGCTTTTTATGGCCACACCAAGCAGAGCCATGAGAACTGGGCTCCATTTCCTAAACTAAGGCCGACTATCTGGGAAAATGAATAAACTTTTTTGTGCTTTGATCCTTCACCCACGCAAAATCTCAGGTTAATATCACTAAAAATGAAAGTTGCTCAACCTTTATATCTGTACACTCAAATGAACCTCCTGGTGCCATATTTAATTCCTAACAGGAAGTCATGGTTGTTTTTGAAGCAATCTAATTGGCTGACACAGGTTTTAGTTTCGAGCTACACTGCCCCCTATGGGCTTGGCATGCTTAAAGGGGAAACATTATGTACTTTTTTTTAGCTTTACATCATGTTATAATATTATTCCCTCATCAAAAACATACCTGGAGGGTTGATTTTATTCTTCCATTTTATGTTTGAGAAATCCTTTAATCTCCATGGCAACCATTCAGCAAAATGCCTGGATGGACCTAGCCCCACCTTTGAGGCGCAGCTTCTCCTTCGAACAGAAGTCTCCAGGTTTTAGAGCTTCCTCTTCACAGAGCAGCCCTCCATTTAAACTCCCTCACTCAGGTCCTTCAGACTAGCCAGCAGCAATTAGCAAACACCTGGTGAAACTGCATATCTTTATATGAGCTACTTCTCAGTGAAACGCTGTTAAAGGGTTAATAGAGGAGCCTTGTTGTGATGACTTCCTGAAGGTGGAGTTCCAGAAAGAGCAGGAGTTTTTAAAGAGACAGAGGCCCAATTTCAATGTGTTCAATTACAAGGTCAAATTTTGTTTGTCATATTTGATATAAATAGCATTTCTATAACAACTGAAGGTAGCACAGTAACTTGATTGTGTTATAAAATGGCACCATGTGTCTGAAAAACACATATTACATAAACACATATTACTGCCCCTTTAAATCATCGGGGTGGGCTGAGCAGGTTCGTGTGGATAAAAATATTCCTGAAACCTATCCCGATGTGAACAATTTTATTTTTTAAAACATTGTGATGAAGTGTTTCTTTTTATAAAGACCCAGCTACATGTGTACAAGGCCCAAGTTCACGCTCAGTTTTAAACAATCAAGACTTACATCCTGATCATATATGAGTGGTCATAATGTTTTGGCTCATCTCTGGCTTGTTTTACCTGGTTCTGCTTTATGAAGCTACAGAAGCATCACCTTGTTTGAATGCTTTGCTTGAAGGTTTTCCTTCCCACATGGAGGAATAGACTCACTGATCAGATCTAATATTAACCTGGAGTCACTAACTGCCTGGCGTGTTCTGGTTTCATTGAACATTAACAATAAACAGACTTCAGAAGAAGCTCTCCCCCAAGCATGACGGCCCCTCTGTCCTCCCTCTGCAGGCTCCTCAGTCCTCCGCAGCAGGAAGTGATGATGTTTTCCGGCCGGGCAGTCTCTTCAGGCAGCTGGCCGATCAGGACGAGGACTCAACGGCGCCCTCTCTGTTCAAGCTCAGCTGGCTGTCTGGCATGGCCAAGTAGCCCTGTGTTGGTTTTTCTGTTTGCCTCGTAGATTTTGTAAAAACACTGTATAGTAAACAAAACGTTGTCTTCTGACGTCTGCCTTCTGTGTGATTTCATTCACTTTATTCAATCAAAAACCTGCTTCTGATGTTCAAACTAGAGGTGCAGCAATAAATCGACCCTGATTCCCTCCATTTTGGGAGATCAGTGATCGGCCGATGCTTACATGTGAAACTGATCTTATCCACCAATCTCATCTACGTCAGCAAACGTCTAAAAATCGCCTACTGTCTTCTGTTGTTCTGCCCTGAGAGAGTCTGACTGACTGACCCGCCCACCAGGTCATGTCTGCAGGTTCACAGTTTCCAATAGTCACCTAACTGCCAAGTCAGCGAATATCGTACTATATTTATCAACATTTCAGACAAAAAAATCAGTATTGCCCAAAATTGGAATCATCAGATCAGGCTTTTTAAGGATCAGTAATCGGTGCACCCCTAGTTCAAACAGCTGACTGCACTACTGAAGGAATATGAGGAAAGAAAGTACACCCTCTTTCAGTTCAGAATGCTGTTTATTGAATTCTAACGTTATTTAAACCTAACCTCAAGAGCAGGTTAGAGAAAGCCAAAGTGGGAAAGCTGTGAAAACTAAGTACACCTTTGGAGCAGGTCAGAGTGGAAAGCTGAGTGAAACGACCAGAAACTTGGGAACAACCACAGCAGGAGTGAGGACAGAGCGACTTTGATTGAGGGTTCTTTGATTCCAGTCATTGCAGAGTTGGAGAGAAAACCCTCAGTCTGTTAGACACTTTCAGACAGCTCTTCTACCGCTGCAGTTTATTACATTTACAGCATTCTCCAGGTTATATAATGTACAAGTTTGTAGCTAACAGGACAGACGTTTTACATGTAAATCCACTAACATGCTGTTATACATATTAGCTACACAGTCCAGTGATGTGGACATCTGTGTTTACAGAATAAATGTTATGAACATATTGCAGCAACAATATGTTATTACAGTTGATCATTTGTGTAATCTACTAAAAGTCATGAACTGATTCCATCACTTCATGTCAAAAATCACAGTGAATAACAATAATAACTAATCTACAGCATGAAATAGTGAGCAGTATTTTATATTTATGACTTGAAATGTCTTTTTTCTGCTTCTACAGTGATTATTTCATCCCCACAAACTTTCCCATGTTTGTCATATTATGACCTGAAGCTTCAACGTGGATTTGTTTTAGATTCTAGAGACCAAAGCGTGACTGGTTACATTTCCTTGAGCTGTTCTGTTTGTGACCTCAGAGGTTTTTTAGAGAATAACCAGCGTCCAGGAGACTACATGTTCAACATCACAAACTGCTGTAAAGTCATTGTTTTGATGCTATTAGGCTTCCTTACATGGATCACTTTATTTGGATTTTCAAACTGCATTTGACTGTATTGCCTTATAAAGGATGAAGGTCATAGAATGCATTTTGAATGGATGTAGTTGAATTTTAAGTCTCTGTACTTGGATTGACTTCAGTAGTCCAGGAAAGAAAGTTTCTGCTTGTCTTGTAAATGTTAAAGGTGGGCAGATGATTACCAGCATGGTAAGATTTATACTTTAGTTCCAGATTTCCTCTTAAGATTTTATGAAATTTGAAATGAAATTAAATTTATTCATGCAAAATTTTTCTACTATAGGTTGGACTGTAATAGAGGTTGGAAAGCTGATGTTCATAGATGTTCTTCTTCCAATCAGACTCAGTTTGAGTTGTTTTGAAAGGAAGAAAGTCAGTCCGGCTGTCAATGTTCAAAACCAGAAAATACATTACCCAGAAGCCCTGCACAGTTCTGACTCATGGTACACTTTTCAGATTTTCTATTTTCTATTAGAAAAAACTGAAACTCATGTCTCGTTTCTCTCCCCCACAGAATAAGACAAAGTCATAGACATGTCTTATTCTGTGACATAAACACAATCAAGCTTATGGCTGTAATCATGCACAACATATTGTTTCTTCTAGTCCTTACTGTATGCTGCATGAAGAAGCTGGAGGAGAAATGATGATAAAGTTCTGACAAATTTACTCAAAGCTCAGACCTGCAATCTATATTCAGATTCAACACAATGTGTGGATGTGTAACATTTACTAAGTCATATTTTATAATCCAAGAGAGTCCCTTTTATATAAAATTAAAGTTGCATTCACAACATCAGACATGCGTCTACTGTCTCTACTTCTTTCTGTCTATTTTGCTCATCACCGCCTTGACGTCGACTGGAGCGGAGGCGGCTGCGGCCTTGGCCTTCTCCTCCTCCTCTTGCTGCCACAGGATGATGGGATGGATGCCGGCGCTCCGGTTCCGAGCGTTCTCCTCCAGCTGAGCTGGACTGCAGCGGGAATGCAAACACAAGTGAGACGGGGGTCTGCAAACTTTTTTTGCCCTCATATCAGTCCAGCTAAATGAAACGGCAGAAAAAAGGCAGGAGTGACTGAGAAAGGGTCGTGTAAATACTGGGAAACCTGATTACTGAACAAGAAACAAAAGACTGATTGGCTGAATGATTATAGGTGTGAGGGGAGAGAGAGAGCACATGTGGGGCTATGAAAGGAGCATAATTAAGACATAATAACTAGACACAAGAAATAAACATAACCTGATTCACTAAGAAGGACTGAACTAAAGCCCAAAACAAGGCTGAGCTAATCAAAGAAAGAGACGAATGAACACAGAGTAATAAACAAACCCAAAACAACTCAAACAGCCCAGGATCCTGACAGTTCTGTTGCAATTAACCTTACTGAAATCTTACACACCTGAAGTTATGGGCTTCAGGGCTCAGCGCCTTCTTCTGGATCTCCTTATACGTTGGCGACTTGAGGTAACGGAAGAATGTGTCCTGTACAAAATAAAAAATATAAATAAAAAACTGTTATTTCAAACACAACCTAAACGTCAGTGCCACGGATTTGAAGTTTCTGATTTAACACAGTGGATGCCGTCCCTTCACTGTATATGCAATATTAATATAATTATCTGAATGCCATTGTATTGGTCTGACTGAAACTGTCCAAGTGAAGAATATCCGTCAACATTAGCAGAAGATCTTAAAGTGCCTGACCTTTTTCATGAGCATGAAGACGTGTGTCTGAGCCGCCTCCAGGACGTAGCGGTGCGGATGCTCCAGGCCCTTCACCGTCAGGCCCATCGTCCTGCCATCAATGTTGATCCAACGGGGGGCGCCCGGTGCCAGGAAGGTCCTGTTAGCATGAACACATGATTCATGATGACACCAGCTCAGAATCATCACACCTACATAGGCAGGCAAATAAATGCACAGAGTTATAACACAGGCAAAAAGGCAGTACTATGTGTTTCCCAGCACATAGTCCCATTTATAGAACAATCAAATAGCTATGTTATCTTCAGTTCTGTAAAAATGCTGTATGTATCAAATTATATCAATTATGACTTAAAAGAAATTTGACCTCAAACTGGACTCCGTCTCTTTAAGATACCATTACTCTTTCTTTCACTTTTTCTTCAGCTCATCATCAGAAGCAGTTCTGAGGTGGAGCTGTGTGGATATATATGAGCAAATACTGAGGTTCCTCTGAATGGTTGTCATGGGAGATTCAAGGATTTCTCAAACATTTATAAATAATAAAGATAAAAGTAAAACAAAAAGTGATTGAAATCAACTATGTGGTCATAGATGGCCCGTTTTTGGGCTTACTTGAAGATGGACTCGGCCTTGGCTGACATGGAGGAGGCTGTGCCCCACTTCAGTTCCTCAGCTGCTTCCCAGAAGGCCAGGTTCTCCCCTGGAGTACAGAACAAACAGATAATGAATTTTATTAAACATCACATTAAAATTAGCATTTGCCTTAATAACACACAAGAGTCAGATCAACGTAACACAGAATACAAAAATGCGCCCCTAAGCACTCTGGGAAATAGTTCCCACTCCTGTCTTTTTATTCTTTCAGGATTTGTTTTTAAGCGCTAACCTAAAAATTCTAGTTTATTAAACTCTTAGAGGTTTTACAAAATGACTAAAAAGTTAACACAACTTACTGCTGT